ATGGATGGATGGATGGATGGATGGATGGATGGATGGATGGATGGATGGATATATAGATAGATGGATGGATAGATGGAGATGATCCTGTCAAACTGAGACGGAGTCGAGCAGTGAGCAAATTCGTTACTTTATGAATCGACAACATGTGTGATTTGTGCCGCATCGCCACCAAAGTCTTCTTTTTGTTGCCAGGCCTTGAGTATGCCATCATGTCTGGCGGCGATGTCGCGCCTCTGGAAGAGCAAGCTGTGACAGAGCTGCACAAGCTCTTCAGGCAAAGACTGATGGAGACATAAAGACCATAAAGATGGACAGAACATCAAAGAAGAAATGAAAGAACCTCCAGACGGAGACTTTCAAGAGATTGTACAAGACCGTGCCTCTGCCACTATGTATGGTCCTTGTGTTTGGACACATGTTGTTTGTGATTGAATAGAACGGTTCAAATCAGCGAAAACTACAAGAGACTGTGAACATGTAACTGCAATGAACTGATTAGCCCAAGCCCGGTCCTTCCAGCAAAGGGCTGCTGCCTTGCAGGTGGGTTCACAGAAGTAGCAGAGGAGTGCTTCTGTTCATCGACGAGGCCGGCAATCATTTGAGCACATCCATTCAAGCCATCCCACCCCGTGGATCCGATGGAAGGCTGATGCATTTTTGGCATCCCGGAAAAACACAGGCTTGCGCACGCTTTCGATGTAAACCAATTCTAGAGAATCCAGAGGCAATTGCATGCTTGCCTTTAAGTGATGCTTTCGCAGAATGGGTCGGAGCGAATTGCAAGCTACCTTCGGTAACTTGCAATGGCTTTTGGCAAGCTACAACTTATTTACAAGCAAGCAATTGTCAAACAATGATGTTCTGGCTGGAGGGATGAGCGAGACCATGCGCAATGCTCTCACAACGAGTCTTTGCAGCACCTTAGACTCTTCACACCAGCAAAACATGAAATGCCTGCCACCATGGGAGTTAGATTTCTCAGTTTTAAAGTGACAAAGGCTTTGCCGCAATAAGCAAAGCAAAGCATGCTATTAAGACAGCTGTACGCAGTTTCCAAGCAGCTCAGAAACTCAGGATGCTCTACCATACAGGCGCGTAGTTCTGGGTCTGTCAGCTCTGGTTGGTTCCAACGGTATGCGGCAAACCTAAAAGATTGCCGGTCCTCAATGGCACATCCCATTGCCAGATATCCAGGCACCCCATCTTCCCAATTTATGCTCGCCTGGACCTTACTTATTGCCAAGATTGCCAGCGAATCCACCGATTTTGATTGCTCTGTGCAAGTTGGCAAGAATGGCAGGTAGCTCAAAACAACTACCGTAAGCTTGGTTTGGGAACTGGCCCGTTGAGATCCAGAATTTCACGAAAGATAGCATTAGCTACCTCTCTGAGTTCTCCTTGCTAAAGCAATTGTTATCTCCAGGGGAGCAACGACATAAACCTCTATGAAAGTTTTCTGACTTTTTCTGGTACTTGTTGTAGTTCATAGCTAACAAATCTTTATAAGACGAAAGGTTGGTGAAGATAGCGAATAAGGCGAAAGGTGTGGTTGCAGATTGGGAATGTGTTCCCTTTCCTTGGGAGACAAGACACAGCCGCGACAGCGGCAGGACAATCCACACATGACACAGGGAGACAAGTAGGGAGACAAGTGTGAACCGAAGACACAACTGCGACAGTGGAAGCAAACCTCGGAATTGAGTCACCCACATTGAGAAGAAAACACTCTGATAGCTACCACTATCTGAGGAATAACAAAGCATTTGCTATGCTATGCCGCTCTATATATCTACCTATATAAGTGATCTGATCATCTGATCTAAGTGTCAACAGAAACTCCGCGAGAGGCTTAGCGAAAGAGGTTTTGGATGTTTTAGGGTTGAGTGGGCCGGCGAAAGCTAAACAAGTGTTGCGAAGGGGTCGGCGAAAGGCTTGTAAAATAGATTGTCCGACAAAAGGCTGGTAAAATAGGTTTTCCGGATATTTCCGGATGGCTTTCTCACTTCCCTGAAGATCAAGATTACCGTAAAGTGGTGATCCTATTCATTGGGAGGCCATCGCTCTTAGGTTGGAGGCCATCACTATTAGGTTGTACCCGGGATTCAATGTATTCAGTACAACCTTGCAACCGGTGTACATTTTACAGTACATCATTTTACTGTTTTGCTCCACGCAGTTGCATCCCATGGGTGCTTTACCACTTTCCTGTTTTACATTTTTCCCGTTCTATTGCGCTGCTGGCTGGGCATTTTACGGTTTTACTCCAGAGGGTTCCGTCCCCTGGCATTTGACCGTTTTACCTGCACACACACACACACACACCACGAGCTTCCCTGCATTCGAAAGCTCTCTCACCCTTGCGTCGTGTAACTCGTCTCCTTCTCGCTGTGCATTTCCTTCACTTTCTCAAATTCCTTCACCTGTCAGGCCCTCAGATTCATAGACTCTTTGTCTCATTATCTGCATTGTTTCTTCACTCTTCCTTCGATTCCTTCACCTTCGATTTCCTTGTCGCCATGCAATGCATTTCCTTTCCTCACCAAAGTCATCAAATCATCGCCCACATCTGGTTCATTCAATGCCCCAGCTGTGCCCAGACTCAAAGTTTGTGTCAAAGCTCCTCGAAGCTCCTCTAAGCTACCATGTTTCGTCATATCCGTCATTTGTCTTTGCCCTGTCAACTTCCGCTCTTGAGGCACCCTTGATGGTGCGAAGCACACTAGATCATTGGATGGAGTTTTGGGTATTTCTTCTTCTTGCTTTGTGAAAGATTGATGTTTTTGGACCTCCCTTTCTTCTAGGTCCTAGGTTTTATACCATCACGGGGTCATGGGGGGGCCTAAGGGGGGTGGTGAGGCTTATCATGTAAGCTTCGCATAGGGACGGGGTCAGGCTTATTGTGGGCTTCAAGGACAAGCCTTCAATATAGAGGCTTACTTGCTGAGGATAGGCGCAGATTGATGCTGCTTCATGGGGGCCACCTATTCTGCAGGTTTGGGCCTCCAACCATTTCAATGTTTGGTGCCATTTGGTGCCTACAATGTCCAAACCCCGCAAAGATCAATCAATGGTTTAGCAGTGGCAAAATCCAAAACCATGCACATATATATATATATATATAGCGATGGTTCAGCACTGGCACGGTCCAAACCCATGTAAATAACTGTGTATCCCCCACACACTCAAAGTCAAAACGCGCGCTTGTAAGGCCTTGCAAACTTGTATGAACCTGAGGGCTGCTGATCAGAAAGTCTCGTTGCCCTTCACTTCAATGACACCGTGGGAGCTCAGCCCCTTCTCTTTCCTATCCAGCACTTATCCAGTAAGCCAGCAATGGTATCTACACCTTGAAGGATAAGCTCAACAGCCCCCCCTTTAGCCCTCATGTCCCCTTGATACCATGTGTAGCGGCATGGTGCCTACTTACTGTGATGGATCCTGCGAAGAACACGACGGCAAACGAAGTCCGTCAGCAGCAAAAAGAAACGTCCGGCGCAAAAGCCGAACACGACGCGCCGTTTTGACAGGATGAGTTCCCGCCCTCTTGAGGCGGAAAGGTGCGAGCAGTCGACATGTAAACAGCTCCCTGCCTCATGACCCGATCGAACAGCGTTCGATTCACACGGGGGAAGCTTTAAGGTGAGGCAGGGGCTTCGAAAACTTCATCAGCCTGCATTCCATTGGCTTCAAGCCAGGTAGCTATGGCCAAACGAAGAGAGGTGCCACCACTGACCTGAACACTGTCTGGAGGAAGGATCCTCGTGCTGCAAAGCGCGCAGGGATCATACAACTCCACGTTTCGCTCATCTCTTCCTTCCAGGGAACTGCAGTGTGGGTTCACATGCAGCTTCCGTCCATGCCGGGCGAGGAAAGCGCCACGGTGCAAAGGACACTCCAGGCGGTGGTTGTCCATCTCCTGAAGGCAGCGCCGGAGGATGCTTTTGGCACGGTAGAGCAGTTCTCCAACGTAGTTCATGTTGGCCACATCAAGCTTGAGAGCCTTTTGGTGCTCCATCGCAGCACCATTGGCTTCCAACGCACGAAGCTTCCACTCTTCAACTTCAGCTCGAAGGCGGCCAGAGACGGTGGTGTCATCTGTTTGGCAGCTGCTTTCGCTTATTGGCGCCTGGCGGCGAGTCAGTGCAGTGGGATGACTCCAACGGCCAAGCAGGAAGGATCCGCCAACCATTATGCAGAGACACGTGATCACCACAGCGGTGAAACGATCGTCTTCTGGAGGCTCTTCAGAACTGGTTGCCAAGGCACCAGGCATCAGCAGCAAGGTCACTGCCCAGCAGATGAGGTTCTTCAGGCGACTCACGTTGGCATTCACGGGGTTGCAACCGCCATGGCTCGCGGCCGGGCTGAAGACATTCACATCCATATAGTGCTCTTCGGTGACCAGGGCATACTCATACTGCTCCATGAAGTAAGAGACAGTGACGTCGGTGATCGCCATGTGTGCCTCTTCAGGGGCCTCTTCATTCTCAATCACCTCTTTGACGGGGTGCTCATACTCAATCACCTCTTCACCGGAATGCTCATAGAGCTCGACGTCCTGTGTGTCAGTCGGTGGAGGTACTTGATTCTGCCTCTTTGGAGTCAGGTTGGAAAGTGCTCTCCTGTAGGCTGGCCTTGAGCTCGTCCTTGGTTTTCTTCTTTGCAGCCTTGTAGCTTGGGTCCCAAATCAGCTTGAGCTGACCATACCTGAGGCGTTGTGCAAGCAAGTTGCGTGCACTCTCCTTGGTGAGTCCGTCCGCCAGTTGGCGTTCAGAGGACATCCACCGTAGTTGCCCTCCAAGAGCTTGTAGTCGCTCCTTCACCACACGCACTTCCAGAGACACTCGCTTGTCGATGACAGAAGTGCCGAAACCTTCGCGGTGGTAGGAGTCGTACAATGCCTTGGCGTCTGTCACCATGATCGGCTCGAGCGGTGAGCGAACATCAAGATGGTCCTTCAGCTTCTTGCGGGGATCACGCAGGCAGCTCCAGTAGATGCACACGTGTTCAAGTGCATCAATGGCTTGTCCTCCTCCTTGAGCTTCAGCGCCCAATGACGAGCGAGCGACCCTTGGGGTCTTTTGGCTTCGCCAGTCGAGGATGTGATATGCCCCTTCTGGCCCGGCTGGTTCCATCAAGGACTTGTGGACCAACAGGATGATGTAGCCAACTTGGGAACTGCCATCTGACCTGGTGGCAAAGGCAGCATCAAAGAAGCATACCAACCGTAGGTCTTGAACATCACCAATGTTGTTGTAGACCAAGCCAACGTCAGCGTTCTCTTTGCTGAACTTGAGGAGCTTGTGGCAGTCCAACAGGGTTTGCACCGTGGCTCGAGAAACGTGGCCACTCAGTATTGAGGTGCTTCCTTGAAGATGAGGGCTGGATTGAACTGCAGGCCACTGAAGTGATCCGAGTAACGCTCTGAGCTGCGAGACTTCATCTTCGGTGATGGCTTCGTTGACATTGCGACGCTTGTCGACATTGATGGGCTTCACCTTCTTCATGTAGGTGCTTTGCTCCAACTTGTAACCTCCTTCAGGAGTGATCTTCAGGTCGCAGCCACAGTAGGAGAGGTCACTGCCATCCAAGCCAGTTTTCCATTCACGGAAATTGAAGGTGGCCTTCAACTTGATGATGAGGTCCTGGTAGCATTTCGAAGCTTCTGAGCCACATCCAAGCATATCGTCGACGTGCGTGATGATGATGCCACACAGACCGTATGGCCCGAACAGGTGTGAACTTTCCTGTTCAACTCTGTGCTCCGGGTTGAGGTCGGCTTCATAGGCCAGGAAGCAACAAGGATCTTGGGGATGCTGGCGAAGTCCCATGTTGAGCAGCTTGTCCACTGCAGCCATGTACCATGCTCGTGGAACATCAATTTGTCCGTAACATGGCATCAACAACAGCGTGCGGGTGTCCGCAGTGGCTCCCAACAACTGAAGACATTCAGCAGGAAGTTGCACCCAGAGCTTCCGGGACTGTGGTTTCCCTTGCAAGAAGGCAGTGGCAATGTCCGAAGTCCAAACCGGCCAATGCATGTTGGCAGCTAGGCTAAGCAGGACAGACCTTGACAATCTTGTTGTGGTAGGTGAGGATGTTGGCACTGTACCTGCCCATGCATCAGGGTCCATGAAGCCGCGGACGATCAGGCGGGCCTTCGCCCGAGGTGTCCCGTCAGGGTTCTTCCACTTCAGCAGCATGCGGCTCGTCAACGTTC